ACCCTCTTTGTCCTCGTTACCCCCACCCCTATTTTGAGTTGTGTATAAAAAGCTGTAACTGTAACCGCTCGCTGCTGCTTCCTGCGCGCGTCCTGCCGCCAGGATTCGAATCTGTTAATAAAGAAACTCCCTCTCCAGATTGGCAAGGGAGAGGATCTGTTTCACCAAATTCTTGGTTTGCCGTGGTTTCCTGTCTCGCGGGTACTTTCTCCTTATAACACCCGCAACCAAGGTACATGCCCTTGACCGAATCGAACCTGGGACCCTTCAGTCCGCCAAGCCAATCCGGTTAGGCTAATTTCAGTTTTAAGCATATGCAAAATGATTCAACTAACTGCTGGAGGAATTACACCACATGAAACATACGCAGTTGCAAATCACACAGCATTTTGTTACTCACAAAAGTTCCTGATGCTGTGAGCACAGGCTTGATGGGATCCCAGTGGTACTGTCTGTCCTCTGGGGTCCGGCAGCTGGGCTGGTCCGGTCCGGATACAGGGGGCCAGCGTTCCTCACCCGAGAGCTCTGTCACGTCTCGTGAGGTACTAGTCGTTCTTCTGTCATCTGGCAGAGGGAGGAGCGGGAGCCCTGTCGCTTGCCAGACTGACAAAAGGATGTGTCTTTGTGGCTGTCTCAACAGGGGAGCACTGTTGGTTGGCCAGGACCCATTTTTAAAGCCTGTTTCGTACCCGCAGCAGTTCAGGTGGCTATTAATCAATCACGTCCATGCATACATGTTCATCTCAAACAGGGTGAGGGGATACATGTGGTTATCTAGGGAGAGTACATCACTTACACAAATGGTTATCTTAGCAAGTCACTCTGAGCCAGTAACTGAAGTTCAAGTCCTTATCTACGGGATACACCGCATCAGGGCAATGGGGAACGTCCTTAATATCACACTTTAGGTTTCAGGAAAGTTAACTCAAACATTTTAAAACCTTTTTAACATATTTAGATATTTTTAAAGCATTTTTAAACATTTCCATATATTACCACAACACATGACTAACTACATACCAGAGGAAAAAGGTCAATGGGAAGACCTGAGCTGTATGACTGGAACAGCTCTAAGGGAGGAAAGGGTGCCTCGGGGGAAAGGTCCTAATTGACAATACTTAATTCCTAACACTTGCTCTCCTAATTCTGCTTGTTGCTAGGTATCCATTGCTGGGTGCTTTCTGTCCTGGTGACATTCTGTACCTGGCCTATTGTCTTGCTCTGCTCATGCCTGTCTGCCTACTGTAGCACCATGTCTATCAGGGTTCTTGGTCTCATGAAGCAGAACCAGTTAAGCAAGCAGAGAGGGAGAGGGAAGGGTGGGAGGGAGCCTATTACAAAATATAGGAGGCAGCACAAAGGAGGCCCAGAGAGATGAAATGGATTGCCTGGATTACAGTTAGGTGTTGGAAGTAGCTTTCGGACACAAGGGTCTGTTTGTAAAGTTCATACTGATTTTGGAGGGGTGAGTCCCTGGTGGGGACTCAACCCCAGAACCAAGAGGGTTCTTGGCTTCATGCCAGAAAGAATTTAAGAATGAGCCTGGAAGTAAGGCAGCAAGATCATTGAGCAAAGAGGACAAGAAAAGCCACTTCACAGACAGAGTCCTGGTCTCTCCTCACTAATAGAGTAAGAGAGGGAGAAACCTTAACCTTCTCTGGAGGTAGAGCTTGTATCTGTTTGTAGCACCTATGAAAAATTATTGGAATGGGAATTGTTGGGTTTAACTTTTATTTTTAAATGTATTTTGATTTTTTTCCAGAGAAGAAAGGAGAGGGATAAAGAGTTAGAAACATTGATGAGAGAGAAACATAGATCAGCTGCCTCCCATGCACCCCATACTGGGATGTGCCCACAACCAAGGTACATGCCCTTGACCGAAATCGAACCTGGGACCCTTCAGTCTGCAGGCCGATGCTCTATCCACTGAGCCAAACCAGTTAGGGCTGGGTTTAACTTTTAAAAGGTATATTTTGTGGTCTATTTTCTTTTATAGTATGAGTGCGTGGTATGAGCAAGCTATTAATAGGAAACTTTACAAGAATTTTCTCTATTTTGTAAGTTCCTTGTGATTTGATCTCATGACTGATTAACCAAGCTTTGCATCTGGAGGCATGCAGACTTTAGCATGGCTTTACTTTGGTCTATGTGTTTAGTTCTCATGCCTCTTCCCTATATTAATACCCTATGGGAACAATATGAAACATCTCACTCTGTAGGACAGTGGGACAAGCGAGGGCTATACTCAACACTCCTGAGTGAGGCTACTCTTCCTCTGCCTGAGGACACCCTCAGTCTCAGCGAGGGAGCCATTGAAGCTGTAGAACAAGGAATCTACTATAGTGCCGGACTTGGCCTAGTGTGGCAGAGCTGGTGGAGAAGGCTATGCAAACTCTTCCGAGTCTATTACTGAGCCAGGAGTCACTAGAGGTCAGCCAGGTGGCAGTGGTGAAGGAAGAGTGGATGTGGATAAGAGCAAGAACAAACCTGAAGTGTGTCTGTCACGACATCTGCCCTTGAAGCCATGGGACTCACAGGCTTGTAGGAAGAGCACAGAGCAGCATACATAGGTGCCCTGTACTTGGACAGGCAGAGGCGGCTCTGGGCGAAGCTGCAGGTCCATGAGACAGCAGTTCAAATGGGTACAAGCTGCTGTGCTGATGCCCTTTATCCACCATCAGAACATCAAACGAGACTGGTTTCATTCTGCTTCTGAATCTCATGCAATGTCTCGTGACCCAGGCTAATCTTGAACCAGCCAGGGAAGGACTTCTTGGGAAAGGTTGTTTCAGCTTATCGATATAGACACAATACAAAGTGACCACACCTGTCGTATGAGGGTCAAAGGCAGTAGAGTGCATCCCTCATTGACCAAAGATGCCAGAGTTTTGCTTTCTTGTTCATCTTGCAGCTTCCACACCTGCCCTGGGATAAGCCCATCAGATGTTGGGATAAGCCCATCAGATGTTGGGATAAGCCCATCAGATGTTTACCTGGTTTTGATTGTGGAGCCACATGGCAGCCAGGACAGCAGTGAAATCTTCCTGTTGCACCTGTCCAGTCTCAAGAAGGTGGTGAAGATAGTTGGAATCCAGGACCATGGTGCTGGGCTTGAATGGACTGGGTCTACGAATTGGACAAGCCATATAAGCTCCCTGGGCCTGTTTCCCCATTTTAAAAATGGACAAGGGTCTTAACATATCATTATGTGGTAGAATATGAATTGCATCAACTGTTTTGAAACTTCATGCATTTGTTGCCAAGTATTTTTTTCCCTATTCTCCAAGCCTGGGTCTCTCAGTTCCTTGGGGATTCCACAAGCCACCCCATAGCCTTTTCTATTGAATTTAGTTCATCAGAATTTGGGTCTTGCTTAAAGGAGGCATAAGGTTTTCCCACCAAAAGTATAGTGTTTCGCAGGGTGGGTAAGGTGTTTGCTCCCTGGACTATGTGCTGGACCTTTATTATCCTTAGACTGGATCTCTTCTGGTGTCACTAATAGGTTAAGTGGAGAGTCTTGCCCCTCCAAAAGGCAAGAAACATTGTCTTTTGAGCTGTGTCCAAGATGCTTGCTGTCAGCTTTCCTCCTTCATCCTATTACTGTGAAAGTTCTTTTGCTTGAGACTGTGTCTATCAACATGCAGATTTGCCAGCTGAAGATGTAGTTTCACTCTGGTGATGCACACCCGAATCTTGTTTATTGTGCTGCCTTTTGGTTTCCTTAGCAAGTGAACATTAGTCTTCGTCAACCCAAGGAGATGATCCTCCCCAAAGTGAAGCCATTGTCCTGTGCTGCAGGATGCCCTCCATTGCTGTGAGTCTGAAATGGGATCTCACAGAAGGGCAGCTTGTCTCATCCAACCCAGTTCAGGTTCTGGCTCCGTCAGTTGTAATGTTTGAGAAGGGAAAAACACAGGAGACTTTAAAGTAACAGCTTTATTTATGACTGAAAATGTAAAGGCATTCACAGAATACCAAGGAAAACTATTTCCTGTTCAGTTTTTAAAATCTCAGCCCCGCTGAGAACTGAACATTCACCAGGTACCAAGAAAGAATGTATCTCTTCAATAGACTTTCACAGTAACAGTTTTCTGTTTCCTCAGCATCCCCCAGTTTGTCCCACTGAGCCTTGACCTAAAATTACAAGTCTGTTCACTTTTTAGTTCGCTGGGCTACATATGCTGGTCACAGCTTCACCTCAGTGCTCCCTCAGGTAGAGGTCTGCACAGGACACATCTGCTGGAGTCCCTAGTGTTATGTCCTTTCTTCAAGTAATAATGGCAACCAGGAATGAGCAAATATGGGTAGCAATAGGGAATCAGCAAATTAAAGCCTTAAATCTAAGGCAATTTCCATTTTTCTCAACTGAAATAATGGGTTGGATAATGCTTTTATAAAAGATACTGTTTTGTGTATACAGCACACAATGCTTAACTAATTTTATTATATACATGTAAGTATACAGATTTAGGGAAAATCTCCAGACTATTTTCCCAAATGATTTATGTAAGAAAAAAGAGGGAGGGACACAAACTATTAGCTCTTAGAATTTCAAAAGAATGCAAAGACATTTATTTTCATAAAATCTTGGTGGAGATGCACCTCAGGGATGATCTGACCTGAGTTAAGAGCTGATTTTCCTGTACCTATACTGATCACAAGCAGGTCACCAAAAGCTGGTGTTAACAGAGGAAATAGTGGCTGCTTGTATCCTAGGGTTTCTGATAGCAGCAGCTCCATCGTCACCAAAAGTACTGTACCCAGCACAGCTTAATGACATGGATCCATGATAGTGTATGTTTTGAAACATATCCATGGGAAGTACTTATTGAATTAGAAATTCATGAAACTAGAGGCCATTACGACATAGGGAAGAGGACTGTCCCTACACAAAGGGTTCACAATCTTAACTGGCCCTTAAGATAGCAAATAGTGTTAGAAGAACATTGTAAATAAAACTTAAATATGAAAAAAACAAAATGTAGTACAATATATAATTATTGAAGACTTTTCTTTTATGTAAGAATGTCAGAAAATCCAGGGATAGCTTTTATATCACAGAATGGTCCATATCGCCCAAAAATGTCTTTTGACTGGAGTGCAAAATAATATCTGTTAGAAGCTAAAAACTGAGATAAAGTACAGGCCATTGGGAGTGGTAAAGCTTTAATTTCTCCAACTTTCTTCCAAATTAACTTAATACCAGGGTTCTCATGGCACAGGAAGAGGTGGTAGCTTTCCACAGGAGCACACTTAGGATTGATCTTGGCGATGTTCCAAGTTAGGGCAATGCCCCTGGGTCTCAGCACCCGTTTCACTTTGAGCTCAGTCTTCTGGGGAGGAAGTGTGTCTCGAACTTTGTCTACCGGATTCAGTAGTGATTGTGGTGGTGCTGGGAGAGGTGGCAGATGCTCAAAGGACTCAGGAACCTGAAACACATTTATGAAAAGTTTAGTGAGCTGAATTGGTGGGTTCTAATTAATTTAAAGTAGTTGACTGCAGTTCTACAACATATTATTTCCCACTCCTCAATCATTTATAAAAATCACCAGAGGCCCTGTGCATGGATTTGTGCACCAATAGGGTCCTTCGGCCTGGCCGATGGGTATTGGGCTGAAACCAGCTCTCCGACATCCCCCAAGGGGTCCCAGATTGCGAGAGGGCGGTTCATGGGTGACACACCCTGGAACCAGGCTCCCTCTTCTCTGGCTCCGAGTGCATCACCGAAGAACCACAGCTGGCAAGTCACCATAGCTCCTGCATTGAGCATCTGCCCCTGGTGGTCAGTGTTTATCATAGCTACCGGTCGGCTGGTCAAACAGGTGGCTGGTTGCTTAGGCTTTTATATCTACACTAATAAGATACCTTAGCAACACCCACCAGCCAATCAGGAGTGTGTATTCAAATTAACCCAACAAAGATGGTGGGTTAATTTGCATATGCAGGTGCTGAGCGGTGGGAGTCATTCCCCACCGCCCCAGCCGCTCCAGGCCTCTGGGCAGCATGGAAAGGCAGAAAGGCGGCTCCAGGCTGGAGTGAAGGCAGAAAGGTGGCTTGGGCCGGAGTGAAGGCGGTGCTGGCAGCCAGGGGAAGGAAGGCTCATTCTTGCACGAATCTTAGTGTATCGGGGCCTCTAGTATTTGATAACAAAAGGATGCTTCAAGACTATGTAAGATTGGATGCAGTCTTTTTAAGCTTAAGTTTCTTTTATAGTTAAGACTTCTACATTCTGGAATATCACACTAACCAGAATGGGTTAGGTCCCAGACATTCTGGATAATGTTCCATCTCATTTCCAAATTGTGTTCCCAAACACTGCTAACTTACACAAAAAAAGTGAGTGTACAAGAACACCCATTTCCGGGCACTGTCAGCAACAATGGCTACTACTCTTAAAAATCTTTTCGAATTTGTGGAGTAAAATAATGTATATGTTTTAATTCTTGTAGCTTCTAGAAAATTCAATGAAATTATTTTAGTTGTGTAAGTAGACTCACAATAGAACATTTTAATTTGAATTATATTTTTATTGCTCTGAGCAAGGGAAAGGAAGATAAAAACATCAATTATGAGAGAAAAATCATTGATTGGCTGCCTCCTACACATACCCCTCCCCCCCATTGAAGATCAAGCCCACAATCCAGGCATGTGCCCCGACTGGGAATTGAATTATGATGTAGTTCATAGGTTGGCACTCAACCACCCAGCCACATTGACCGGGCACAACAGAACGTTTACAAAAGGACATTAAGTGCAATCTAAGCTAAAATGTAACCAAAATATTTCTTCATGAGTAAAATGGGCACGTCCATTTCCACTCAATTTGAAATGACTATCCCTTTCAGAGCATTTCATATCAGTACCTGGGTTTCATTTTGGGCCATTGGTGTTGTCTCTTTTGAGATTGACACGGATTTCATATATGACTCCAGCATGGATACTGAACTTTCTGTGAACAACACAAGATTTAAAAAATTAAATTCATCTGCAACATTCAATCCCTTAGCCTTTAAGCAAAGAATAGTTTACATTGTGGGTGGTAATTAAATGTGAACTAAACTTTTGATAAAAATTCAAGATCCAAAGTTACCAAATAGAGAATTTTCCTTTAATATGAAAAATCCCCCACTTAAGGTAAATATTTAAGTCATTACGTAACTGGGAACCAGGAAAAATTACACAGGGGAGAGGGCTCCCTGCTCAGTGGTCCCAGAGGAGGATTGTGCTCTGTTAGGTTAATAAGGATATTTGCAAGCACAGAGCTATTGACAATCCTGCTTGAATATGTGATACACACAGTCCTGGGAAAAATCATGCAGGCTGGGATTGAAGGAATCTCTACTGCTGAGGTCTATGCTAGCCTAAAGGGAATTACTTAGATGGGAAATGTGGACTGCGAAAAGGGAAGAGGAAGGAGCAGGGACAAAAGGGAGAGTAGAAGAGAGACACTGAGAAGAAAGAAAAGGAAAAATAGGGAAAATGTGGATGAGGAAAGAAAGAGAGGTTAAAAGGTGCAAGAACAGTTTGAAAACAACTAGGGACAGTATGAGGATGGTAAAAAACGGGGTTTCATGTTGGAAAGTTGTAAGGCTGGGTAGAATGCTAACTTCTAAACATTTCAGAAATTTGAACATAATAAGCAGTAAAAATCATTTTAGATCCATTGTGTGTGCAATGACATACTGTTTAATACACTCAATGAATCTCCTCCAATTGAAACATATATATTTTTTATGGACAAGGACAATTAAGAATCTGCATTGTGTTTCAAATTTATTAGTCACTTTATTTACTATGTTAAAAAACCTTTTTGGAAGAGGTGATGACTTTGTGATTATAATTATAAGAGTCTGTACAAACTTTTTAAACTGTTTAATTAATTAGAACTAGATTTGTGAAATCATAATCTATAGGTTAATCACCACACAAGAGCTGAAACAAATAACCTTTAAAAATTCTGCCAAAACCGGTTTGGCTCAGTGGATAGAGCGTCGCCTTGCGGACTGAAGGGTCCCAGGTTCGATTCCGGTCAAGGGCATGTACCTGGGTTGCGGGCACATCCCCAGTGGGAGATGTGCAGGAGGCGGCTGATCGATGTTTCTCTCTCATCGATGTTTCTAACTCTCTATCTCTCTCCCTTCCTCTCTGTAAAAAATCAATAAAATATATTAAAAAAAAAAAATTCAAGTGCACAGTTTCATACAAAAAAAAAATTTGTGCACTCGCAAGGTGGGAGGGCCTCAGCCCGGCTTGCACCCTCTCACAGTCCAGGAACCCTTGGGGGATGTCCACCTTCCGCTTCCCCCAGGGGAGAAGGCCTAAGCCACAGCTGGACATCCTTAGCGCTGCCAAGGAGGCGAGAGAGGATCCCGCTACCGCCACTGTGCTCGTAGCTGTCAGCCTGGCTTGTAGTTAAGCGGAGCTCCCCCTGTGGGAGCATACGGACCACCAGGGGGCAGCTCCTGCATTGAGTATCTGCCCCCAGGTGGTCAGTGCACATCGTGGTGACTGGTTGTTCTCCATTTTGGTCGATTAGCATATTAGGGTTTATTATATAGGATTGCCATATTATTATCCAACCAATAGACTATGACCTGCCCCAATCAATCAGAACTATACAAAATGTACCCTTATTTGATTTTATACTAACCAATCCAAACTGTACAATTTGGAAACCTCATTTACATGAAGCAGGCAAATATGGAAACTATGGGTGGGAAGGTTTCTGTAAAAAATGGCCTCTCCTCTATCTTGGAAGAGTGCTTTTGGTTTCTAACAGAGGCCTTGTCTACCTGGTTTGCAAAATGTTATTTGATTAAAGTTGCTCCTTTTTTGCTCCAGTGCCTTTAGATCAGTGGTTCTCAACCTTCCTAATGCTGCGACCCTTTAATACAGTTCCTCATGTTGTGGTGACCCCCAATTCCATTGTTACAAATTGAACATAAAGCATAGTTATTAATCACAAAAACGATATGTAATTATATATGTGTTTTCCAATGGTCTTAGGTGACACCTGTGAAAGGGTCGTTCGACCCCCAAATGCCGGGAGCCGGTCCATCCTTGCTGTTTCAAGGGACCTGGCATATATGGCATACTGTTCTTAATATGTTTGCTCACCTTCTTGGCACTATGTGTTTCAACCAAGGTAACCTCTCTGAGAAAGGTTGTTTCCCCAGGTAGGGATTTTCCCCTGAAGTTAGGGAGGGAATAAAACCCCTTAACTAAGTGCCAGGCGGGTAATTAATCACTTTAACTACGAACAATCATGCTTAAGCTACATAATCTTTACTCCCTGGAATGGAGATAAGAAACGCCCTAACCTTTGGAATAGAGATTGATAGGATTGGAATCAACTGGTATAAATACAGATGTAACAAGACAGAACTTAGAAGACAGAACCTACACAGAACCTAGAGACAGAAGAACTTCGCTGGAGAGAACATGGCAAAAGATCCTGGACAGAAACTGGCAACAGAACCTAGAGACAGAACCTAGCGAGAGAACATGGCAAAAGATCCTGGACAGAAACTGGCCACAGAACCTGGATAGAACATGGCAAGAGAACCTGACTAGAACCTGGTGACTGAACCTGGCTGGAGAACCTAGTGAAGGAACATGGCTACAGAACCTGGCTGGAGAACCTAGCAAGAGAACATGGACACAGAACCTGGCTGGAGATCCTAACCAGAACTTCGCTGGAGATCCTGGCTAGAGATCCTGGCAAGGCTGCTGATCAACTGAACGCTGTCTCTGTGTCATTCCTTCTTCGCCGACTCCGTCCACACCTTTGAGGACCCCTGGACCTGCTGGGGTTGGACCCCAGCACCCAAAGGGGTCGCGACCCACAGGTTGAGAACCACTGCTTTAGATGGATTTGTTTATATGCCCTCGCATCCTCTCACAACCACTATTGTTATAGTTAAGGAATTAAACCTGATAACACAGGTAGAAAAGAGATTCATAGTAGCCCCAAACAACCCAAATATCTTTCACTGAGTGAATGGATAAACTATCCTATATAATAAAGAGGTAATATACTAATTAGACCACACAGTGGAACGACCCTCTGGAATGACCAGTGGGCGGAAGATGGGACCACAGGGCAGCCGGGGCCAAGAATGCCTACTCTTGTATGAATTTCGTGCATTGGGCCTGTAGTTATACATAAACTACTATACATCCATACCATGGACTACTACTCAGCAATAAAAAGTAAAACTAATACACCTAATAATTTAGATAACATTCACAGAGAATCATACTAAGTGAAAGAAGCCAATTTCACAAAGATACATATTGCATTATCACATTTATATAACATCCATTAAATAACCTAACTATAAAGGTAGAAACAGATTCACAGCTGTCTGGGTTTAGAGACTGGGGGCAGGAAGTAGGTATGCCTATAAAAAGGTCAGCATGAGGGAATCCTGCAGTGACAGAACAGTTGTGTGCTTGATTGTGGTAGCAGTAACATGAATGTACACATGTGATAAAAAATTGTATAGAGCTATATATAACACACACATACTAAAATAAACTTCATAAACTGGTCAAACACATTTTGAGTTGTTACCCTTTCCTCTTTTTTAAAAAAACAAAGTCGTTACCTGTGTTGCAGTTTGATAGACCTTCTTTAGTCAGATCAATCACAAAATCAAGACTCTTTTCCTCTACAGCCTAAAAAGTTAGGTTAAAAAAAAAAAAAAAAAAAAAAAAGACTTTTGCCTCAATAGCGGAAAGATGTTTTTTAAAAAATAAAACACATAATTTTAGATTACCATACAGAAACTAGAGATTGAACATTTTATAAATATTTATGTTTTAATTTAACTCTCCTGTGAGAAACTCATGAAATACTTTATAGTTTGAGAATATGACTAGGCAGTGTCCAAATAACTTAATTTGTTAAGTATGACTGTAAAATATACTTATCATTAGCTGTTTGCTTTTTAATGCAAGCTAGACTAGAACCTGGTTATGCTAACTCCTAGAACTAACACATTCAAATAAACAACATTTAAAGACAATTATTTATTACCTACCATAACTTCAGTAACAGCATTAGACGAATTAAAATTTCCTGATGTAATTTTTCCAGTATCTGAAATAAAATTATTAAAATATGAACATTTGGCAAGTTTATTAAACTATTAAATATGTATGTACTTTGTAATATATAAATGCTAAAACACAATAATAATGGAATGCTAATTATCTGCTTATTATACAATCATAAAAAGTAGCTCAATTGACTTTAGCTATACCAAAGACCGATGAGCAAGTTAAAACAAAATATAATTTTATTTCAAAATATTTTGTCCTTCTGAAGCTTTACAACTATATTAGCAACTCTTGAAAATCTATCTGTAAATACCATTTGAGGAAATAAACTTGAAAATGTACACATTTTTGTTCAGTATCTTTAGATCAGAATAGCTGAGATGGCTGAGCATTCTTCACAGAACCAATAAGAAAGCCTCAAAGATTCCTTAAACTATTTTATTCACAATAGCAGCAGCACAAACCACAGGGGCAATTACGTAGCTACATAAGTGGAGACAAAGCTTTCTGAAATTAAAATGCAAATACTCTAATATATCATAAAAATTAAAATGAAATGGAGAATTTTGAATGAGCAATGATGGGCCAGAGAGCTATTTGGAGAGGAAATTTATTTGAAATTTAAGATTAAGGTATAATAGTGTACATAAATATAGTAAGTCAGACTCTGAAGAGCAACAATAGTATTATAAAAACACCAAAAATTTTTAAAAAAATCAAATATACTAAAGAATTGCCAAACTTTGCACTGGCTGGGTAGTTTAACTGGTTAGAGTGTCATCCCACTATGCCAAGGTTGTAGGTTCCATCCCTTGGTCAGGGCACATTCAAGAGTCAACCAACCACTGAATGCATAAATAAGTGGAACAACAAATTGCTGTTTCTCTCTCTCTAAAATAAATTTTGAAAAATTAGGCAAACTTTAAATCTTAAGTAAAATATAAGATAACTTAATAGATAAAACAAAAACCAAGCCACCGGCCCTGGCTGGGTAACTCAGTAGGTTACAGCATCATTCCGATATGCCAAGGTTGTAGGTTGGATCCCTGGTCAGGACACACATAGGAAGCAACAATGAATGCATAAATAAGTGGAACAATAAATAAATGTTTCTTTCTCCCTCTCCCTAAAATCAATAAAATAAACAACACCCCACCAACATAGGCCAGAGCAAAGAAGTAAAAATAATGTATGTGTAAAAGGTAAGTAGTTAACTTACAAAGCCATTAAACAAACGGTAAGGAAACAAAAGGTCATAAATTGATAAACACAGATTAAAAAGAAGATTCAATTATATTAAGAGGTCCTTTATTTATTTAGGGAATATAAATCAAATATAAATTAAAACATTATTGAGAGTAGAATTTTGTTTTATTAAAAGGTAATATTCAATTCTCTAAATATTGATTTGAAGCTTTCTAAATTAATAAATTGCATTTTAATCAACTTAAGATACCTGTTAGATTTGATGTAATTGGTGTTGTCAAATTAGGATTTTCCACAGAAATCAACACAACATCATCGTTACTAAAATGATAAAAAAAAAATGAACTAAATATGGATTGTTAAGCTTAAACATACAATCAATGGTTAGAATTCTTCTAAATTAACATTTCACACCTGACATATTTTAATCTAATAAATGTGTGTGTGTGTGTGTGTGTGGGGGGGAATGGAAGTGATAAAATCAAATACCCTAGAAACTCCACGTATTACCAATTAATTATATGACCAATAATAATAGACACTTTAACCTCAGTAGAGATCTACTTACAATGAATCTAAATACATTATCTATAAGTATACAATTACATAAAGGTGCAAAATATAAAAAGTCACCCTAGCAAATATACTTATATACTTGTATTCATGAAAATAAAACAGGTAAGTGAAAGAAACCCATTAAGATACCTTGATTCGCCAGAACCGGTTTGGCTCAGTGGATAGAGCGTCGGCCTGCGGACTGAAAGGTCCCAGGTTCGATTCCGGTCAAGGGCATGTACCTTGGTTGCAGGCACATCCCCAGTAGGAGGTGTGCAGGAGGCAGCTGATCGATGTTTCTCTCTCATCGATGTTTCTAACTCTCTATCTCTCTCCCTTCCTCTCTGTAAAAAATCAATAAAATATATTAAAAAAAAAAAAAAAGATACCTTGATTCTTACAAGATTACTAGAGGCACGGTGCACGAAATTTGTGCATGGGAGGGGGCCCTCAGTCTGGCCTGCACCCTCTCCAATCTGGGATCCCTCTCGCAATCCAGTTCCACTGGCTCCTAAGTGCTCACCTGCCTGCCTGTCTGATCCCTCTAACTGTCCTCCCCTCCTTGTCTGATCCCCCTGCCTATCTGCTCTCCCTTCCTGATCTGATCCCCCTAACTGCCCATCGGCTCTCCCTTCTTCTCTGCACCTCTAGAACCCAGCGCAAGAGTGCTGAAAGCTCTCTGCCGAGGCCCCAACCCCATTCTGACACCCCCTTCCAGGCCGAGCCGTGTGGCAGGCCTGTTTGTGCCCCCTCTGGGGGCGGGGGGGTGGGGTGGGGTAGAGGAAGGACTTCGAGGCCTGTCCTGATGCCTCCCTCTGGGCCGGGCTGGTACGGGAAGCCTGCACGCGCCAGCACTGGGAGTGAAGTCCCCGCCCATCAGCTCCTGTGCAACCTGTTAACTGGTTGTGACTGGGACACTGTTAGGACCAATTAGAATATTACCTCTTTATTATATAGATAATTATGGTTATGAAATAGCCTGAGTCAGAAGGTAGTATTCTGCTCTCATTTGACCCTGATACCACTTTTATGAGTTAACATTTAAATCAGAATTTTTGTTAAGAAAATCTTGAGTATTGGGGAGATAAAAATGGAGGTGGAGTAAGTGGACATGTTCCCAGGACCAAACTGGAATTAAAACTAAAATACAGAAAAAATCCTTGAATAATCAACTGAAGATTCACTGGAGAGAACCCTGATACCCAAGGGCTGAAAGTGGAGACCACATAGAAACTGGTAGAAGACCTGGAGGCTCAAAAGGGCTGGCTGGGCTTCCACAGAGAGCAAATGAATTTCCGGAGAGATACCTCAATTGTGGGGGGTTGTCACTGAGAACTTTGGGGTCTAATCCTCAAGTAGAGAGCACCAGAACCTGAGAAGGGTACCCGCATAATATCTGCGATGAGAAGGAGCAGAGCTGTTGTCTGCCAGGGAGAGATGGCTGGAAATGTAGGTACCTCAAAGAGACAACACATGAAAATCCCTGTAAGCCACTCACCTTGTGCTCCGCCAGATGGAGGGCAGAGTGGACTAGAGCTGTGTGAGCAGAAGCCAGGGTTTGAAGCTCTGGGGTTAGAGCAGAGAAGGCAGACACCCCTGGTTTTCTGTGCTGAGTCATTCCCTCATGCTCCAGAGGGCATCTTTCCAAAGCAGATAATTGCTATACAGGCAATTTTGCCTGTAGGGGAAGACAGTTGATCCACCCTATTGGAAAACACCTTGTCCAACAGTGTGGAGTTTCTGAAATCCATTAAGACACTGAGAATAACAATAAGCCCCTAGTTGGAAGCCACTGCCACACCCTGTTGGAAAGACTCTCATGACACCTGTGGACGATTGCCTGAGGGGTATTCAAGACTACAGGCAGAGGCAGACTCTGGAGGCTTTGAGTCTTTGGGTGACCTAATTAGTCAGAAACAGCGTTTGACACTGTATTGCACTAGAGATTGAGAGGCGTATCAGATTTACCTAATACATAGTCCCAAACCCAAAAAGGCAGCCAAAATAAGGAAATAACGAAACAACCCCCAAATGAAAGAACAAGAAAATTCTCAAGAACAGATAAAGGAAATGGAGATAAGAAATTTATCTGATACGAAGTTCTGAATAATGTTGGTAAAGATGTTCAACAGCATGACAAAAAATATACTAACCATGAAAACAGAAATAAAGAATGTCAGTACAAATAGAGAAGACATTAGACGAACCCCAAAAGGCCCATGCCCAGACATATTATAATTAAAATACCAAAAATTAAAGACAAAGTGAAAATCTTAAAGGCAGGAGGAGAAAAGCAAATTGCTACCTGCAAAGGGGCTCTTATAAGGCTTCCATCTGATTTCTTATCAGAAACACTACAGGCCAGAAGGGAATGGCATGAAGTACTCAAGGTAATGGAAAGCAAGGATCTGAAGCCAAGATTACTATATCCAGCAAAGCTATTCTTAAAAATAGATGGTCAAATAAAGAGCTTCCCAGACAAAAAAAGAAAAAAAAGAAAAAAAAAAAAGCTAAAGGAGTACATTAACACCAAACCAGCATTATAAGAAATGCTAAAGGGACTGCTATAATGAGAAGACAGAGAGAGAAATCTAGCCATACAGAATTAAAGTGGAAATAAATAAATACCTATTAATAATAAACTTAAATGTAAATAGATTTAATGCCACAAACAAAATACGTAGGGTTGCTAAATGGATACAAAAACATGACCCAACTCTATGCTGTCTAGTTAATAAACTATTTAACCTACCACTTAAAGAACTAGAAAGAGAAAAATAAGAAAAACACAGAAGGAAGGAAATAAAAAAATACAAAAAAAAAATTCATGAAACAAAGAGCTGGTCCTTTGATAGTATAAACAAGATTGATTAGCTGTTAGCGAGACTCATCAAGAAACAAAGAGGGCCCAAACAAATAAAATCAGAAACTAAAGCAGGTAAGTAATCACAGATATCAGAGAAACACAAAGGATTGTAAGAAAATACTAGGAACAATTATATGCCAACAAACTAGACAACCTGAGGGAAATAGACAAATTCTTAGAAAAATATAATCTCGCAAAACTGAATCAGGAGGAATGAGAAAACCTGCATAGGCCAGTAACAATTGATGAAATAGAAGTAGTAATCAAACATTCCCAGCAAACAAAAGCCCAGGTCTGGATAACCTCACACGGGAGTTTTATCAAACATTCAAAGAAGAACTCACACCTGTACTTCTCAAACTATTCCTGAAAATCCAAGAGGAAAGAACACTCCCAAGCTCTTTTTATGAGGCCAGCATCATCCTAATTCCAAAACCAGATAGACACGACAAAGAAAGAGAATTACAAGCCAATACCCCTGATGAACATAGATACTAAAATTCTCAACAAAGTAATAGCAAACCAGATCCAGCAAAACATTAAAAAGAGCATACATCACACCAAGTAGTATTCCAGGGATGCAAAGTTGGTACAATATTCACAAATCAATAAATGTGATACATCGAATAAACAAACTGAAAGACAAACATCACACGATTATATCAATAGACGCAGAAAAGTCATTCAACAAAATCCAACACACATTATTGATAAAAACTCTCAGTAATGTGTAAAGAGAAGTATACCTCAAAGCCATTATAACCCAAAACAGCCTGGTACTGGCACAAAAACAGGCATATAGATCAATGGAACAGAACAGAGACCCCAGAAATTGACCCAAGCAATTACGCTCAATTAATATTTGACAAAAGAGGCAAGAGCGTACAATCGAGTCAAGATAGTCTTTTCAATAAATGGTGTTGGGAAACTGGACAGATACATTCAAAAAAATGAAACTAGATCACCAACTTACACTATACACAAGAATAAACTCAACAGGATAAAAGAGTTAAATGTAAGTTGTGAAACCATAAAAATCCTAGAAGAAACTATAGGGAGCAAAATCTAAGACATCTCTTGCAGCAATATGTTGACAGATACATCTCCTAAGGCAAAGGAAACTAAGCAGAAAATAAACAAATGGGACCACATCAAAATAAAAAGCTTCTGCACAGCAAAAGGAAACCATCAACAAAACAAAAAGGGACCCACTGTATGGGAGAACATATGCGGCAATGATACATCTGATAAATCTGATAAAGGGTTAATATCCAAAATACATAAGGAACTTAAACAACTGAACATAAGGAAGACAAACAATCCAATAAGAAAAAATGGACAAACGACCTAAATAAACACTTCTTTTTATTTTATTTTTTTGTAATTCTCTGTTTTTGAAAGTATTATGTATGCCGTCTTTCCCCCTTCATTGGCCACCTTAAGGTCTTCAGCATCCTATTGTCTGTGTCCATGGGTTATGCATATATGCATAAAAGGTTTTGATTAATTACCTCCAACCAGCCCAAACTCCCCCACCTTCCTTCTGAGATTCTGCACTCTGTTCCATGCTTCCATGTCTCTGGATTCACTCCATTCAACAGTTTGTTATTTAGATTCCACATGAGTGCAATCGTGTGATATGTGTCTTTCTCTGATTGACTTATTTCACTTACCATGATACTCTCCAGGTCGTTTCATGCTGACTCAAAGGGTAAGAGATTCTTCCTCTCTACTGCTACATAGTATTCCATGGTATAAATGTACCACAGCTTTTTTATCCACTCATCTACTGATGGGCACTTGGGCTGTTTCCAGATCTTAGCTATTGTAAACTGTGCTGCTAAGGACATGGGGGTGCATACATTTTTTCTGATTGGTGCTTTTGGTTACTTAGGTTATA